CGGATGCTATTAATCGTTCCTTCATAGTAGCGCGGTACCCTTCGCTGTTCCTGCGATGACACGCGTAAATCTGTCGCTAAACGATTTCTTTAACCCGCGAGCGAGTGTTCACTCATGTGAGTCGAGACCTCGTTTCAAAGATGTTTGAAACAAGTATGTAATGTTCGAATAAATCAATAAAGATTTCATACAATAACTTGATCTTAATTTTACTTTTCAGAAAATTAAGAAAATTTATTCTCTATTATTTAAAAAAATTATTCTACTGAGAAAAGTTAAATTTACATCAACATATTATGAATTGCAGACGTGAATCAATGTGTTTTTGGAGCCTCGACAAGCGTGAATGTTGAATCACTTCTTTCGAATAATCTTATGCGACGTTGTTATGAGATAAAAATCAGATTAAAAAATATATAACACATGCACAATTCTATTATAATCAATTAATATGTAATTTAAGATTATCCTAAAAAGGCGCGGGAATAAAACTTTTATACAATTAACATCATACAGTCCGCAATGTATTAATTTATTCGAGTTATCAAACATGCGAATTCAACTGTTCTTATCGGAAAAGTTTGAAAGAGACTAGTTTAGCGTTTATCGTGAGCCCAATTTATTAATTTCCATCGCAACATCGCTATTTGCATCCATTTTGAAATTAAAGCTACATAATCATATCTGTAGATTAGAATTATAACTTCAAAGCCTTTTTTTTGCTTCGAAGGCACGCGCTTTTTCTTTTTCAAGATGTATTAAAACGATACGTTGAGCTGAGAAGCCCGCATCTCGTGGCAGGGCCTTGCCTGGTAGGGCGCGCTTAAGTGCGCGCGCGGCAAATCGTGCCAGCAGCGACGGAGATGCTGCATTGTGCGAAGGCGGTCGCCTGTGAAACATATTTAGCTTGTTGGTACACAGAGCGCGACGGGCAAGATGCGAGCCCCATATTGTGTGCGTGCAAAGTGCGCACGAAGAGGGTATTAACGACAATCGAGAATTTGCACGTCACTTTTTGGGAATCGCTTTCTCGAAATGTAGAGAACCTAATCGACTGAAGTGATAATGTAAATTCTACAAAATTTACATCGCGCCGAATAACAGAAGAAAAGCATATGACAGATACATATTTACGTCATAACTTTTCAAATTCAAATTGTTTGTATCAACTGATTGTCCGAACAAAATTTATTTTGTCCTCTCACCTTTCCGTTTGCGCCGTTTTTTGCTTTAATGCGAATAAGAAGAGACTACTGTACTGTAATCCGCCACCTGCGTTATATTATATCATTAGAGGATCAAAGATCCTCGGGCATGTATCCCCCACGTGGATACTGTGATCTTCCCTCCTCTCTATTTTTCTATCTGCTCGCCGGCAAAGAGATCAAATTCCACTTCAAGTCT